GATGTATGGTATGAGTTTTTCCTCCTTGCACTCCTTCATTGATTCGTGTAGTTCAACTTCCATATCACCACACAATTCCAATGTTGAAAACTGCTTGGAATGTGACTTCAAACCTCCAACTTGCAATTTTTCCCGGATTTTGACATCCTCTTTTTCCCCCGGACTAGAGTCAATTTCAACAACATTTTCAATCACCCCGGTTGACTCTAATTCCATATTTTTCGTGGAATCACAAACACTCATAGAGTCGGTTGGCGGATGTTCAAGTCTTGATTCCTCAAAGTAAAGCTCACTTTCTTCCTCGGGATTGGACTCTTCTTGACTTTCTTCCACACTCTCAAGTTGGTGGGCATAGTGAGCCTCAACCAATATTTTTATTTGATCTTCCAAAGTGCGGATATGTTCATCATTGTGAGCCAAGCCTTGTTTCAAGTCCTCGAGTGCAAAGTTATGCTTCTCCTCATTTTCAAGAATGGTCTCCAACATGAGCATCATCTTCTCATTTTGAGCATTTGAGAGTTCTCCTTGGTTTTGATCAAGTGCCAAGGAAGAATTTTCGGCTTCCACATCTCAGAAAAATTCTTGGCTATCATTAACTTCCGAGGATTTTTGGACCTCTAAAGCTTCAAGCATTTCTCCCATTTGTGAGTGCAACCTTTCAAGTGCTACGTCATTTTGGAGACTATTTTCCAAAAGCTCCTCCAAGGCACTTTGTTCTTTGTTTCCTCCTTCAATTAGGCATTCTAACATGAGCTTGAACTCCCCATTTTGATCATGCTCAACTTCTTCTACTTCCATAGCCCTATCATTTTCATCACAAAAAGTAGAACCATCATAGTGGGGGCTTGGGGAAGGGAAGGACAAATAAGCACAATATTCCCAATGACCATTTTGACAACCACACTTATCACAAATACTCCACTCATGGGTTTGAGATTGTGCGCACAATCCACCCCGGGGAGAATTTAAATAATTTTGCCATGAGTGTGGTCCTCCACAATAAGGACAAGGATCATCAAAGTATGAACAACTACTATCCAACCAATTTTCATTATATGATGTCATTTTTCAAAAATAAGAAAGTAAACAAGAAACAAACAAGAAAAATAGACCAAGGTAAGAAAAATAATTACAAATATTCACAAGTTTGGACCAAAGCACTTACACTTATTTCTCAAACAACCTAAATTACGCCAAATTGTTCCCCGGCAACGGCGCCAATTTTGATGACGTCCAAATTCACTACTAAAAAGTAAATGGACACGATCGCATGCAATATAATTTACCCAACTATAAGTCGGGGTCGAATCCCACAGAGAACAATATGTAGGCGATTAGGAATGTAAGAGAATTATCACTTGTTATGCAATGCCAAACACTTAGAATTGATTTTAGAAAATATTTCTACCTAAATGCGAAAATGTAAACTAACCTAGAAAGCAAGTAAAATGATCAATGGCTACAAGTATGGTTGCATCGGGAATTACACTCAAGTAACAATCCAATGTATTTCACGATTTTACAAATATGAGCGAGTTTATGTTAATTAGCCACAGATAATAATTCTTAATTAGCTTCTTCAAAAGACTACCAAGACTTCCTAATTGAATTATCCCTAAAATGATTAGGAGATTAAGCACACCCAGATGTTGCTACAAGTAGTTCAATCCTATCCCTAGGTAGAATCTATAAACTGAGGGTTAACGCCTCAAGTTCTTGTTAATTAATCTTTCCCAACCCCAAATTATCTTTTCCAAAATTAATTCGGAGTAAATGGGCGAGTCCTAGGGTTAGCTAATCCCTTTGGAAACATTAAAGAACAAGAATAATTAAAGTAACAATAACTCACTTCATAAAAGGATAAAAATCATTCAATACATAAGCACAACAAGGTATTTAATCCACACTTTAAATATGAATATTTCCATAAACAAGATTCAAGTGTTGGAAATAAATACTACACACTTAAATATTCAATACAAAGCAAGGAAATGAAGAAATAAACATAAATGGGCAAGAAATCCTTAACCACAAGCTTGAAATCTTCAAAACCCAAGTGTGTGTGCAAACCCTAGCTTCCAACCTTGTTCTCTCTAGTGTTTGGAACTGAAAATAAGCCAAAAAATTCCCCACAAATGAGCTAAGTCGGGTGTTAAATGGTTTGGGGCCAAAAAATGTGAGATTCCAGAATTGCCCAGGTCTGATGCTCGATTTTCGCATTACGAACATAAGTTCGCAATTGCGAACTATGCATATACTGTGCACTTTCGCATTTGCGAAGAAGACTTCACATTTGCGAAGGTTGACTCCCCTAGTTGACTTCGCATTTGCGATGACTGCCTAAATCATCTTCCTTCGCAATTCGCATGCTTTCCTCGCAATACCAAAGACTGTATTCTTCGCAATTCCCAGGAGTATGTCGCAATTGCGACAACTGAAGCCCCTTCCCACATTTTCTTCTTTTTAGCTTCTTTTTGACTTGTTTCACTTGGTTTCTTCAACATCACTTCTAAATCACTTGATACCTGTAATATAGAAGTAAATGGCATTAAACACGTGATTTTATCAGTAACACATAGCAAAAATATAGGTTTAAATACAAGATAAGTTGGTAATAAAAACTTATCAGTACGCAAACCTTAACCAGAGGCGGACCTAGGATTTCAAGATTACCGGTGCGCATTTGCAATATTCAACCAAAATTTGATCTATATATATAGTGTGTCATTAATAATATGTCACTATTTTTTAAATACATATATACATGTATACATGAAATTTTTGCCAACCTTGCCGAGTGCCAGTGGCAATGACCCCCTATCTTTACAACACAGGCCCTCCTTTGGCCTTACCCCTACTTTGTGAAGATAGAGAGGTTGTTTTTCATTGACCTTCGGCTCAAGGAAAGCAAAAACAAACAGTAGTGCAATGAAAGTACGTAGTAAGTAAGCTATGAAAAGAGAAGTAGTAGAAACAACAAGATAATAGGAAAATCTAAGCAAAAGAAATAACAGGTAGTAATAAAATATAAGGCAAAGAAATATGAGACGACTACTACCACTACCACTACCACCACCACCACCACCACCACCACCACCACCACTACTACTACTACTACTTCTACCACCACCACTGCCACTACCACCACCACTACCACTACCACCACCAGCACTACCACCACCGCCACCACTACTACTACTACAACTACTAATATTACTGCTACTATTGCTACTACTGCTACTACTACTACTACTACTGCCACTACCACTATTACTACTACTGCCACTACTACTACTATCACTACCACTACCACTACCACCACAACAACCACTACTACGACTACTACTACTGCTATGACTACTACTGCTACTGCTACTACTACTACTGCAACTACTACTACTATTACCAATACCACTACTAGTATTACTACCACTATCACTATCACTATCACTACTACTATTACTACTACTACTACTACTACTACTACTACTACTACTACTACTACTACTACCACCACCACCATTATAACTATCATTACCACCATCACCACTACTACTACTACTACCACCACTAATACCACCACCACTATCACCACCACTACTACCACTACTACCACTACCAATACTACTACCACTACTGCTACAACTATCACTACTAGTACCAGTACTACCACTACTACTACTATTACCACTGCCACCACTACTACCACCACTACCACTATCACTATCACTACTATCACCGTCACTACTACTACCATTACCACCACCACTACTACTAACACTACTACCACTACTATCACTACTACTACCACCATCACCATCACCACCACTACTACCACCACCACCACCACCACCACTACTACTACCACTTCTACCACTACTACTACTACTACTACTAATACTACCACTATTATTACTGTTACGTCTATTACAACAACAACAACTACTGCTGCTACTGCTGCTGCTGCTGCTGCTGCTACTACTACTACTACTGCTGCTAATACTACTACTACTACTGTTGCTACTGCTGCTGCTGCTGCTGCTACTACTACCACCACCACTACTACTACCACCACCACCACCATCACTGCTACAACCACTACCACTATCACTACCAATACTACCACTACTATCACCACTACTACCAGCACTACCACCACTGCTACTACTACAGCTGCTACTACTACTACTACTATCTACTACTATTGCTACTACTACTACTAACAATACCACCACCACTACTACTATTACAGGACTGAAAAGAAGAATACTGAACTACCCCTTAACCTACAATCCTAATTCTGGATCTCCATGCCCTCCTATCCATAGGCATGTCCTCGGTAAGCTTGAGGTGAGCCATGTCCTGCCTAATCACCTCTTTGTAATACTTTTTCAGCCTACCTCTACCTCTCCTAAGACCCTCCATCACCAACCTCTCACACCTCCTCACTGTAGCATCTGTACATCTCCGATTCACATGTCCAAACCTTCTCAACCTTGCTTTATGCATCTTGTCTACCACTGGTGGCACTCCCACATTGTTTGTCACGACCCAATTCCCGAACCCGGTCGTGATGGCGCCTCTCGTGAAGACAAGGCCAGCCAGACCAATACAGAACACCTCTTTTAAGCAGTTAATTACCATTTAAGCAATTATGAAGCATGATTTAATAACAATAAATTCGCGAAAACATAGATAATAATAGTAGAACCATCCCAACACAGCCCAAACCGAGGTGTCACAAGTCACGAGCATCTATTAGAGTATAAATACAACTACAGGGCCTGAAATAAACAAAATAGGCTGATAAACAAAGGATGAAATACGGTGCTGCGAACGCTGGCAGCCACCTCGCTAAATCAGACGAGACTGCCTCCGATCAGCCAAAACCCGCTACCGGGTGTAAAAATACCTGCGTCTACACACAAGGTGCAGGGAGTAAAGTGAGTACTCCAACTCAGTGAGTAATAAAGGTAAATAACAATTGAGCAGTAAGATATCACGTAAAGAAAACCATCATGCTGTATAGAAGCAGTGTAAAATCCTTTGAGAAAGGCAGTGCAGCTGTGAAATCTTTAGAAACTATCTTAGCTCAGTTTAAACCTCTTTCGAAAATGACTTTTTCAACAGTTACGCAACGATTTCAAAACAATTAGTGCCGATAAGCACAGAAAATTCGCCCCTCGGGCATAAATACCACAGTATAACAGGTAAAACGTCAAGTAAATATGAAAGATGAACACATAAAGGTTCGCCCCTCGGGCAATAACTCAGAACAGTACCAGCCCCTCGGGCTCACTCTCAGAATAGTATCATATAGTAACCGCTGCGGCGTGCAGCCCGATCCACATATCGCTACGGCGTGCAGCCCCATTCATATATTTCGTCGACGGCGCTCACTAGGGGTGTGTAAACTCCGGGAGGGGCCCCATACGGCCCAAGCGCAATATCAAACCATCTCGTGGCGTACAAATCTCAGGCCCTCGGCCTCATAATCAAATCAGTATATCACCACTACGGCGTGCAGCCCGATCCCAAAGACATGTATCACCGCTGCGGCATGCAGCCCGATCCCAAAGATATCCTCACAATACAGGCCCTCGGCCTTACTTAGTCAAAAATCACATAAGCCTCTCGGGCAACAGTAAAACAGTATTTCTCAGCCTAAAACATCATTTAGAAATATCATTTAAGTCTCAAAACTGAGTAAAAATTGCTAAGTTGTGAAATAGTGGAAAACAGCATGACTGAGTTCAAGTAATAAGTCAAAACAGTGAGGAAACAGTAATAATAATCCCCAGAGGGTTCAAATAGTTAGCACGAAGCCCAAATATGGCAATCAGCCTAAATCATGATGACAACAAGTAAGTTTTAGTCAAATACATGGTAAGTTCATCAATCGGGACGGACCAAGTCACAATCCCCAACGGTGCTCTACCCCACGCTCACTTTCCGGCGTGCAAGTCACCTCAATATAGCACTACGATGTGCAAATCTGTGGTTTCAAACCCTCAGAATATCATTTACAATCATTACTCACCTCGAACCGGCGAAATCTCTAGCTAGCGACGCCTTTCCCCCTCAAATCGGCCTCCACGCACGTTGAATCTATCCAAAATCAGAATGAATACATTACAATATGCTAAGGGAACAAAGCCCAAGCGAAAACAATCAATAACGGGCACAAATTCCAAAATTTCCAAAACTCGAGCCCTGGGCCCAGTTCTCGAAACTCAAGAATTTTTACATCATTAGATTCCTCATCTCCCCACGAGTTCATACATATCAAAAGTTCTCAAATCCGACCTCAAATGGTCCTTCAAATCCCAATTCAAAAGTCCAATTTCTCAAGCCCTAGTTCTTCAATTTTAGGCTTAGATTCCATGAATTTCTAGGTGGATTTCACAATATAATCGAGTTTTAAGACCAAGATTCTTACCTCAAGTCGATTCCTCTTGAATCCCTCTTTAATTTCCTTCAAAAATCTCCAAAAACGAGCAGCCATGGGTGAAAATAGACCCACATTCGCGAACAAGATGACTTTAAAAACATTCTGCCCAGGCATATTTTTCCTCTATGCGATCGCGGGGAGACCTTCGCGATCGCGAAGCACAAATGTTCAGCCCTCAGAATTAACTCTATGCGAACGCGACGTATCCCATGCGAACGCAATGCACTGCCAACTTACACTATGTGATCGTGGACCACACTCCGCGTTCGCGATGAACAATTTCCAATCCAATACCTCAGGTCCACTTTACTCTATGCGAACGCGACCAGCCCTATGGGTTCGCGATCAACAAATTCCATCTACTATGCGATCGCATCTCCATCTCTGCGAACGTGAAGAACGATTGCACTGCTCCCTCAAAAGCCTCTATGCGATCGCGAGAGGACCATCGCAATCGCGATGAACAAAATACCAGAACTGGAACATGCAATCTTTCTGAAGTCCTCAAAGCATGAAATGGTCCGATTAACCACCCGAATCTCACCCGAGGCCCTCGGGACCTCAACCAAACATACCCGCATAATCCATAACATCATTCAAACTTGTTCCAATCATCAAAACACCTCCAACAACATCAAATTACTCAAAACTCATCGAATTCAAGCCTATGTTTCCAAAAACTTCCGAAATACACTTTCGATCAAAAACCCGACCAAACGACGTCCGAATGACCTGAAATTTTGCACACACATCACAAATGACATAACGAAGCTACAGCAACTCTCGGAATTCCATTCCGACTCCTGGATCAAAATCTCACCTATTAACCGGAAATCGCCAAAACCTCTACTTCGCCAATTCAAGCCAAATTCCACTCCGGACCTCTAAAACCGATTCCGATCACGCTCCTAAGTCATAAATCACCCAACAAAGCTAACCAAATCATAAAAATTCCGATCTGAGCTCATATACAAACAAGTCAACTCTTGGTCAAGCCTCTCAAATGCAAAGCTTTCAACTGAGACTCTTCTTTCAAATTCATTCCGATTTTCCTGAAAACCAAAAACCAACGATCTACATCAGTCATAATACATCACACGGGGCAAGTCATGCCCGAGAACTGGCGATCAAAGTGCAAAAGCTCAAAACTACCGGTCGGGTCGTTACATCCTCCACCACTTAAACAGACGTTCGTCCTCGAACGTACCTAGAGTTGTTCTAAAAGCCAACCAATCGCTGAATAACCTTACCATGCATATACCCGGGGGTGATCCCACGTCACCCTATCTCATATAGGTCCGAGGTCTGGTAACACATTGAAACTGAAATTGCACAACCCAATCTAGCCCATGAATCATAGAACCACATTTTCACTCCTGAAACCATCAATACAATCAAAACCTCACACCTATACTCTGAATAGACCCGAACTAGCTGTAATAGCCCATGCCTGCAACCTCAGGTGCAAGTATATGATATACCACATAGCTCAAACACACGCAGCGATAACTTCCATTCACAGCAGCTGCCCACAACAACCAAATACCGATAGAAAACCTCTTATCAGCTAAAGTCTCATTCCAACACTTTCATATACTACCAACGATAAACAAAACACGCAATAAACCATAACCATTTCTCAGATCAACCATTCATGAGGCCATATTTCCTCTGGCAACTACCATAGCAATTTTTTTTGAACCGAACCTCGATATTTACCCATCAAACATGCTGAAATCGAATCCGTTTGTATTCATTAATGATCCCAACGATCTCTTCTGACCAAACACACCACCCTGGTGACATGACACATCAATACGGGACTAAGCCACAACTTGCATAACTACGCGCACTAATAAGCAACAGTCTGAACATACTCAAATCATGAAAAAAATGACTCAATTGAGAGAGTTGTACCTCAAGCTCGCCGGTACCATCACAACACAAGGCTGAGAACCCGTCTCACATCATAGGATAGAACACATGAATCTACCCGCAAGATCATATCTCCACATAGCTTCGCGGCAATGCATGATCCTATCCAAACACTGCTCCACATGAAACACCTCAAGTCACTATGATCGAAGGCGACAACCACTCGGCATTTGATGTCTGGAACCAAAGCAAATCATTACACCCGCGGTGAAACAAGTAACATATACCACGCAAACCCGATAGGACATAATCGATACGCCATTCACCGAGAAACACCCAATTACTCTCCCCGCTTGACTTCCACTATGAACCTCCAATAGAACTGCACCATACGTGCCCATAACCAACAAATCATAACGTCTCGCAACACAGTAAAGCAACTCAAAGATCTCTCCAGATCACTGATAAGCTCAACAATGGTCGAATCGACCTATCCCTCAACAATACAATTCGGGGCAAACCAAGCCGACTCAAGCTAGAACACGCATCCACATTGGCCTGCCAACGAACTCATTACCAAGGAAGCCTGAAGCTGCTCCTTCCACTATCATAACTCATGTCGAAGCCGTACGATACGGTGCCCGGCACCAAACTAATACCAAAATCCACAACCTCGCCCAGTGACATGCCCGGCCACAAGAAACACATCCGAAAGTCCCTTAACACCAGAACTGAACCAATGGTAGAAACCTCTGCACTGACACCCATCACGAAGGCCCCAAATAAAAAGACAAATCCTTCCCAGCCGTCCGCTGGGTCTTCGAAATATAAAAAAAATCCCCAATAGGACATAATCCGTCAAACATCGCCACTCAATCCGTGGCATTTTTCGGCATAGCCAACAACGCCGTCTTATCGCAACAGTCCAGAATAACACAACACGGAGACAACCAGTCTGAACCCAATATCACTTCCAAATCCAACATACCAAGCAATAAAAGGTTTGCTAGGGTCTCCAAACCCCGATATTCACTAAACAGCCGATACACGTGACTCACAACAACAATATAGCCTGAACGTGAGAACTTCCGGTCTCCAACCCCATGTAGCACACAAATCACCATACCTGATCCCCAAATTCCGCAGTCCGAATACATATCACACCTTAAGTACCCAATCATTC